GATAGATGGATAGATAGATAAGACAGACAGACAGATAAAGTAGCTCACTTGTTCTTATTTTCCTAGTGAAAACGGTGTTAAAGTCTGCTGTATCAATCTCCCAGGCCAGAAGAGGCTTGGTGTGACATGATGACACCTCTTCCACGTCACAGCCCCCATCCGATCCCACAGGACCCCCTCCAGGCTGCCCGCCGCTGAGGTCCGTGGAGGCTTTCGCCTTCCCATGCGGGGCTCCGTCCTCCTGCTTGTTCCGCGGTGGGCAGCAGTACACGGCGGCCGCCTGGTTCAGGAGGGCATAGTCTGAGCAGACCGTGTAAAACTTCTCCCGGGAGTGTGTGACCGGGCAGGTCCACTGCAGGTGAAGCTCAGCACTGGAAGCCCGCCTCAGCCTCGCAGCATCCCGGGCGATGGAGCTCATCAGCCCGTGGCCCCCCTCTCCATCCGCGGCCCTCTGCAGCCCTGGCTGCTCAGCGGGGCCGGGGGGGTGAGCCCCCTGACCCTCTGATGTGTTAGGCATCTGGGTGATGGAGGACAGATAGGGCTGGAGGTGATGGTGTCTTCTCTGGAAAAAAAAATGGCCAGAGATGAAGGAAAGATGGAGATGCTGTGACAGACACCTGCAGCTGAGGACAGTTCCCTAAAATTAAAACCATCATAACACGTACAGGGTTTGATTAAGATTCTAATTTACAAGAAACATTCACCACATTACCTTAAATACGAGTCACTTATTAGGAAACCAGAGGAAGAGCCCGGCGGTGTTACATATTAGGTAAACACCATGGCAGCTGTGAAGCGCAGCTACATCCCTGCTACACTGGAGTTAGCTGGCAAAAACACCCAATAGAGTCCGGATTTTAGTTTTTTATCAAAGCCCTTTAGATGTATCTGGAGGTTAGCTAACCGCTAACCGTTAGCCGAGCAGCAGCTTTATTACAGCAGAGAATTAACGCGGAAAATCCCGTTACTTCGCCCTCCTGACCCGTATCTTTTTCCAAAGCAGACACACTGGACTGTACCATTCAGGTCAAAATACGAGGGGAAACAAACAGAGATATGTAGAAAAAAGATATATGTAAAAATATGTATATAAGTGTCTTGAATTAAAATTTGAATAAAGACTTACCGGTAGTTTAAAAACACCAATTTCAAAGTGTTAAAAATAAATTAAGCGGTATTTTGTACTAACTCGGTATCTCCACCCCCCTCTTCTACGGTAATGAAAGGGTTTTGCATTTTTAAACCAATCAAAAGAGTGAATTCCAGTGGGTGTTTAAACTTCTCAGGAAAAAGGTAAGTTAGCCTATGTTTACGTTTGATATTGTTTGGAGTAATGTAACAAAAAGGGAAAAATCATAAAGCTTTGTTGAGGCACTTTAGACAAACAGGAACATTTTAGGAATTAAAAAGTTACAGCACAGGTAGAGCTGTTCTGGGTAGACAGGATTATGCTGTTTACACAATAAAATACAGGAAACCTCGGGCTCCTGTCTGATGTTTTTCCCTTTTTTATCTCTTAGATGACAATCACAACATACAATGTTTATTATTGGAGTTGTATGGGATAGTCCAACATTAAGCGCTGCATGTTTGTTCTGGAAGACTAAACTCCCTTTTTCCATTTTTCTTAACAAAAAATAAATAAATAAATAAAAGTGAGCTTTTAAAGTGTCAGATTTTTACATCCTAATGTTTGCAAATAGCTCAGTCAGCAATTGGTTGAACAAGGTTTTTATTAAGGGGTGTCAAAGTAAGTAGGACTAAATATAAGCTTAAAAAAACTGTTACGTAATGAAATATTTGGTATTAATGGGTAAAATGTGACAAAATGTGAAACATTTGAAGGGATGTGAATAATTTTATTTATTTTCTCATATGTGACACTGTATTATGTTTTCCTTAATTTATATGGATTTTTTTTTATGTTTAAATAAAGTAATATCTGATATCTTAGCAAGCATTTGAAACTGTGGGAAACATTACCTTATGAAGGCTGTCATCTGGAGCTTTATGTGACCTGATCGCAATCTAGAACGCACACTGGAAAAACAATCTAGAAATAAGTAAAAATTTCTTAAATTAAGTGTATTGACCCTTAATTTGAGTAGGAAAATGAGATGGTTTGCCAATGGAATGAGTAATTTTACTCTTAAAATAAGATAATTAGATAATATGCACTTGAAAAAAAGACAATGCAATTGTTTTTTTTCTCATTTTAAGTGTAAATTGTCTTCCATTGGCAAGATGTGTCTTTTACCTCCTGAATTCAAGAACAAATGCACTTATTTTAGGAAAAAATGACTTATCGAGATTTTGATTTTATTCAGTGCAGTTTTGTAGGACAACACAGAATCATGGAGGACTGATATTTCTCTGCAGCAGCCAATGGACAGCTTTTTACTCCTGCAATCACATTGAAAGTCTGCTAATGTAATGTGGAATAAAAATAAAATCTATTATCATGATTATTATTATTCACTCTTCCAAAAGCCATAGCAGCCCATTAAAGTAAAGAAACGTGTAAAGCTTTTCTGGTCATTCCGTAAAAATTCAAAAAATATCCACTGGACTTGGTTTTTTCTTTTCTGGTCAGACTAACTGGCTTGAACAAAAAGAGAAGCAGAGATAAAACAGGTCTAGAACAGGTTTGTCAAAAAACTATGAGCCTATAAATGTGTTTATGAAGCCGTAGCTCATAAGATTTCTTTGCATTAAAAAAAGAAAATATTTTCTTTGTCTTCCCATATTTTGGATAGATGACTTTGAAAATAACACAGATAGTCGTGTTGTGTGCAGGACATTAAGGCGGCGAAACCATGACCAAGAAGCTGGTGATCATCGACACAGACTGCGGCATAGATGACGCTCAGGCCATAATGATGGCCTTGGCGGCGTCCAACCTGGAGGTCCTGGCCGTGACCTGTGTGTTTGGGAACGCGGCGGTGGAAAACGTGTGTCAGAACGTTTTGCGGGTTCTCTCCGTCTGTGAGCGCCAGGAGGTGCGTCTGTTCGACTGAACCGATGCGTTTAACGCTTGATATGGGGCAGAGGGATCATATATAGAGTTCTCTGGATCGTTGTATCGTGATTTGTTCAGAAATATAACAAAATTGAACATGTTATAAAGTTACAGTTATTAATAAAAGTTTTCCTCTCTATAAAAATACTGTAATGACTCCTGTTTCCTGCAGATTCCGGTGTTTCAAGGCTCTGCTGGTCCCCTTGTAGGATTCAGTAATCTATTCAGCGACCACTTTGGAGGTGATGGACTTGGGGATGTGATAAAGGACCAAGACCCTCAGTGGAAGGAGAAAATCCAACCGGAGCACGCAGTCAATGCTTTGATTAGGCTGGTGTCTGAACATGAGAAGCAGGTAAACAGGTTCCAGGTTTTTTATTTTTCATGTGGGGGGGTGGATGCTCTGCTGCTCCATAACCATTTCTTCCTTCAGGTCTCCTTGGTGGCCCTCGGCCCGCTCACTAATCTGGCACTGGCTGTCAAGCTGGATCCGCGCTTCTCCCAAAAGCTCAGAGACCTCTTCATCATGGGCGGCAACATGGAAGGTAGTCAAATGGGATTTGAAGAGTTCCTACGCGAGGCCCAGCAGCCTTGAACGGTTTGTTTTTGTTGTTACAGGAAAGGGGAACGTGACCCTTTGTGCAGAGTTTAACTTTGTGTCGGATCCAGAGTCTGCTTACGTTGTTCTAGAAGAATTCCTCTGCCCCACCTACCTCGCCACATGGGAGTACTCATGCAGGAACGCCCTGACTTGGGTATGCCGCTTTTGCAGTGCGTTGCACTTCTCCATTTATTCCCAATGAAAAGCATTGAGGTTTTGCACTTATTTGCACACTTCTACAGGAGTTCTTTGAGGAGCTGATCAATCAGGATGCCCCTGCAGCCCGCTTCATGAAGATGATAACATCAAAGTGTTGGGCCTACTCCAAAGAGACCATGAAGATTAAGAGAGACGTGTACTTTGGGCCTGGCTTTGTCTCTTATGACGCCTACGCCATGGCGGCCTGTATTGACAGCAGCGTAGTGCTGGAGAGCATTGAGTGCCCCGTGCGCGTGGAGGTGCAGGGCTCCATGACTCGTGGCATGTTGGTGCTGGATCGAACAAACTCCCTAAACAAGAGCCACACTGTGAGGGTCATGGTTAAATGTGACGTGGCCAAGTTTGGTGGGCTTCTGATGGAGTCCCTCAGACAGCCGTAGAAGAAGTGACAAAAAAGACCAGGCAGCCTCTTTTAGCTAAAAGGTTTATTTTTCTCAAGATGAGGTCATAAAATGCATAAAATGAGAAATGTGATTTTTTTAAATTTTTTTTAATTTAACCATTCCGTTGTAGATTTGCTCCTGTGTTTGACCTTTTGACCCACTTTTGACCAAGCTGGCTTCATCTTTAACTTAATTAAAGTGTGGTGTGCAAAAGCATTCATGGTTGGATGCAGGAATTCAGGTCCTATGGTGGCAAACTAAAAACCCCAAAACACCACTATCCCTCAGTATGGTCGAAAACTGATATATGCTTTGATGTTAAACATGTTAGCTGAAGCCAGTGGTGTCTGAACTTTTTTCTGCTACATGAGCCAAATTTACAGGATTTTAATTACAATAATAAGAACAATTTAACTTTATTGATCTCACACTGGAGAAATTCAGCTCTGCATTTAACCCATACCCTTTGGGAGCAGTGGGGTTTTAAGGGTCTTGATCATGGGCCCAGAGTGGACGTCTGTGGTAGTTGAACCCAAAAACCCCAGAACCCAAGCAGAATGCTCTAACCACTAGGCCACCACACCCCAACAGCATAACCATGAACAATCTATGATTAAAACACACTGGCATGTGGTTTTTGATCATTTCCCACGTATACGAAATAATCAGAGAAAATTACAATTAATGTTCCATAGCTGATCTTTGTGCTTCTGTATGGCTGTTTTCATATCATATTAGGAATGTGAGGATTGTGTTTGATACTCAGAGTTTCAAAGTAAAAAAAAAACAAAGATTCTGATTGAATTTCCTTTCACAGCCTTCATTTTGAGGGTTTATGTGCTAAAAAGTAAAACACAGCATTTTAGAGATAAATAAGTTATTTAAATCAAACATGAGGATTAAATTACTTAATATAAAATAAACCTGCTCCTTTAAATTGTAAAATGTGTCCAGCTTCTGTTTCTTCTACAATATAAGGTTTCTTTAAAAAATAAATGTCCAGCAGAGGGCAGCACCCACCTAGTAGTGCATCATGTAGAGATGTTCCTCATTGATGATTGGAAGCAGGACATTTTCTGAAGAGAAGTAACCTCTGTCTGAATGACATAAAGGGATAATTCCTCCCACATTTCTGAGAGAAATGTGACAAACTATCAGCTGTTGTGGATGTTTTTTATTTTGCAAATATGCACACATCCCTATGGAAGCCCATTTCCGCCACATTAAAGTAAAAAATGCCAAATAGAAAGTCATAATTATGAGATTCAAAGTCATAATTTCGACTTTTAAACAGAGGTGTCACTTAACAAAGTACAAATACTTTGTTTCTGTACAAAGTATTTGTATACAAAGTATTTATTAAGTACACTTTTTAGGTATCTACACCATTACTTATTTTTCTTCCTACTTCTGACTTCTACTCATTACATCAAGTATCTGTACTTTCTATTCCTTACATTTTTAAAACAATTTGTTTAATGTTTATAAATATTTATTTCACATCATGTGCGCCATCATTGATCATTGGCTCCATCCACATCTAGTGAAAACTAGATGTGAAGATGGAGACGAAAACCAACCAGACTTCACTCATCCTTGGCCCTATCTCAAAGAATTTTTCCAAATAGTCAAAAAATTTAGCTTTCAATTCATATAGTGGCATCTGGCTGTTTTTTTTAAAGGTTACTTTATACTTTGATACTTTCAGTAGTTTTTGGAGCACATACTTTTTCACTTTTTCTTGAGTAAAGAGGTCATGTTGATAACTTTAACTTTTACCAGTGTTTTTAAACTGCAGTATCTATACTTCTACTTAAGTAACAAATGTGTGTACTTTTGACACCACTGCTTTTAAAGTCATAATTATGAGGTACAAAGTCATAATTTCGTCTTTTAAAGTCATAATTATGACTTTGAATCTAGAAATTATGACTTTCTATTTGGCATTTCTCTACTTTCATGTGGCGGAAACGGGCTTCCATACTTCTCCCATCTGGAGTAGTTGGCCAATCAGTGGCGCCTCCAGCAATTTTTAATGGGGGGGGGGAGACAATGGGGCCAGCAAAAATCTTGTGGTGGCAGCACTGATCTCTATTTATTCACTGGATTGCTGATTGCCAGAAAAAAGTTAAGCCTCCGTCCTCCATGCTGGTACTCCCCACTCCCACGGAGACACTGCCTCCCTGTGCAGCATTTGACTGCAAAAACAAGCAGTTTGCTGGCTGTCGGAAGATGATCCACAGGTCATTTCAGTCAGTGGATGTACTAATCAAGAAAAATCCACATATAGCCTACGCCAATGTATCCTATAGTTTAGTATGTAGCGTAATATAAGACTTTGACTAAATTAGCCATTGGCATTGTGTCTAACGTAAGTAAATGGAAAGTAGGGCAAATAGAAAGTGATTCATTATGAAATGCAAATGTAGTAATTAATTATTAAGCGGATGCGGTCGTTTTTGTAGTGTTTGTTGTATTTCTCATTTGAAAAAGTAATGTGCAGAAATATATTGCAACCCCAACGTCTGAGCCTTATATATGTATATATTCATATATATATATATATATATATATATAGAGAGAGAGAGAGAGAGAGATCAGTGGCTGGCACACTGAAACTAAAAGCATAATTTCAGGGTTTGAATCTACTATTGTGGTAAACATGCCTGTAGAACACCTGCTCATATCTTGGTTTATTGTGTGATTTTTAAAGTTATGTCACTGGCTGTGCATAATGGGATGAAATGCTGAACTGATGCTACTATAATTTACACTGGCAAGGTGGGTGGCCAGGGCATTGCCAGGGCAAATATGCAGTTTGTGAGCACATTTGTAAGCACTACTTACAGTTCTTTTTGCAAAAATGTGTCCTTGAAATACTTTTCAATTTTTTAAAGCAACACCAAGTTAACTTCTTACCTTAATTGATCCTCTTTTTTTTAATTCTGGGGGGCCCCGTCATCCCCCCCTACTGGCTCTAGCTGGAAAATCCCACTGGGAGCCTCCTGGCTGTTCTGGTTCTTCCAGCAAGACCAACAGCTTTTCACTAGCCCAATGTGAGGCTGCACTGGCTCTAGTAGCCATATGTCTACCTACATATGATTATAGAACAGTTTTAATTATGTTTATAACAGGACAGAGCAATAAAGACAAATAAATCAGGAGGAAATAAAGAGAAAACAGGAAAAGTGTCGGCACAGGCTGAATTGGGTTAAGGTGGTGCAGACTTGTTATTAGACTTCTAACCAGTGTTGGTGTTATTAATGTGATTGTAGCAAACAGCAAAGTTACTCTAAAACCTTTATGGATTGTATAATTTTAAATTTTTGTTTTGTTTTCTGCTTAATTCTCTCCACAGCAGCTGTATGGGAACTGCAAAACAAGCAACACACTCAACATTTTCCAAGACTTTAATATTTTTGTTGACAACTCTATTCTTTATAAAATTATCCTGGATTCCTAAAAAAACATATATAAGATACACAGAATTTTTTTTATTTAATAAGTCTCTATTTGAATTTTTGAAGTAAAATTTAAATAGGTTGATGCTTAAAAAAAAAAACAAAAAAAAAAAAAACAACAGAACCCGGCAGGTGATCATAAAATTCCACATCAGCCTAAAAAAAAAACGAGTATGAGGCTGATGTTTGGGATTCTTCATACTTTTATCTGAAAAGATGGTTTATACAAATCACTGCGCTGTGATCCCCGAGGTACATGGAGGGCTATAAAATATGAAATACATAAATGTTAATTCCCTCATCAAATAAATGTAGCATTTATGTATTGAATAAATGATTTAAACATTAAATATTGCATTAAATTGTAAAATGCGCAATGATGAAATGAAAATTCCATTTAAAGATTAAATTAGTCAGTTGAAAAAATATATTTACTAATAGATGAACAATTTCTCCTCACATATATGAATTAATCTGAGGTGGCATAATCAGGGTTTATGCAGCAATGAGTAACTAATTTTACTGCTTTTTAATGCCTTTAGAAATAATTTTAAAGACAACAAGTACCTGTGACTCTCACATATATATGTATGAGACATGATCCTTCGTCATCTTTACTGTAGACAGGCTGCAGCCATGTCCCGAATTCTTTTTCCAGCCACTTTTGTTGAAATTAGCATTTCCCCCCCATTCTCTAGCTTTTTCTCCGCCTCAAGCTTGTTTTCCAAAACATACGGCTTTACAATCAACCAGAAGTTCCACACAAATATATCTCAATATATTTGAAAAAATTGTTTTGTGAACATATTTAAAATATATATATATATATATATATATATATATATATATATATATATATATATATATATATAAGGTATTTAAAATTCTGTGAGAATCACATTTAATGAATTTTAATGACAAGGCTTTAATAAAAAAAAAAATTTAATGACTTAATGATTTCTAATGACCCGCGGAAACCCAGAAAATTACAGGCATCTTCAGGGGAGTCTCCAGTCTGCTGCAGGTGTATTTTATGGAGTGAGATGCTGAAATATTGGTTTGCAAACTTCACGCCCAACAATAAAGAACATTTCTTTTAAATGAATAAAGACCAAAACCAGACTTTCTGCTGAAAACCTTTAATTAAACTTGCTGACAAACAAAGGCGACATGAGAACAGTTCAAACCCCGAGCTGAGGAATCTGTTTTCCTTTATCTCTGGACCAAATAATTCCACTTTAAAAATGGACAACATGAATATACCCAAAACTTTTATGGGGTGATGACTATTAAAAAATTATAATAATCCAATTTCAGAATTCTAAAGATCCCTTCTGCCAAATAAAAGCAAAGTGCAATGATGCCAGTAAGAATGGAAGTAATTTGGCTCCTCAAATGGACTTTTTGTAAGAAACCAATAAGAACCGAGAACTTAAGAGGAATGCAGCATTATTAGACTTTCTATGTCATCCGCTTTTATTTCAGGATCTCCTGTTAAAAACAAATCGAAATAAAAATAAGCATCACTGCCTTGTGGGAATAAAAAGCTGCAGAGAAATAAAGGTTTCTGGGCTGATCAAATGAGTCACATAATGCTGCTTCTGAGAGGGGCTGATCTCTGATCGTTTAAAGACTCGTCTGGCAAACAGAACTCCTGTAAGGTGCGTCTTAGTTGGCGTTATCAGGGGAGCTGGGCCAGGGCTCTGAGCTGCGCCTGCTCAGGGTGGGACGCCAGGCGCTCCAGGGGTTGAAGGTCCTGCTCATCTCGGTGGAAGCCGTCGGCGACGACGGGGTGGGGCTGCTGACCAGATTAGTCAGAGCGGCTGAACTGGTTGACGGAGAGAAAGGGTGTAGCGTTGAATCTGCGCTTGTTGACCAGATGGAGCTGCTGAAGGGCGTGGTGGCAGACCACGGATTGCAAGCGTTTCCCAGGAATGACTGAGCACAGAAAAAAAAAAAAAAAAAAAAGGGCGTCACGGATAGAGCTTCCAGAGAAACATTGGTAGGAGAATGTTGGAGCTTACTGCGGTCGGAGCGGCCGGTGGGCTGGAACTGCTGGGCCAGGAGTGCAGAGGGTCGCTGCTGGGGATGTCCCAGGGGGTGGAGGAGACCGGGGTGAACTCTGGCCAGCTGGGCTGAGGCTCAGATGGCTTTGA